AAGCAGGTATTTGAGCAAATTTTTAGCGCTAAATGATATGGGAACCTTCACACCAACACGAAAATATTAGAATAAGAAAGACAACCACTTGTTGAACTCAGTCGAGAAGAGGAGATTGACTTTTATTTTATTTTATTTGGGGGTGGGGGGGCGGGGGAGTTACGGGCGTAGATCAAAGAAACTGTCCGAATCCTTACAAGGAATGGAACCCAGACCTTCAGATTTATGCTCCCATGCTTTACCACTGAGCTTCAGAGAACTAGATGTTGATCCAGAGCATTCCTCACCTAAATTTGTGACAAGCATCCCACACACAGTATCCCACATACAGTATCTGTATTTATTTTCGGGTTTGGGGCGACACCGACTCAAACGAAAAGCACTCTGGTATTGTGTGTTTTAACAAAACCAGGCGAATGGATACTGTACTTTGAAAATCTTACTGATATAAATTATGATTTTTACCCTTTTTAGTACCCAGCGGATGCGTGACTCCTGGTGAGTATGTATTACAGATGTCAGTTATGGCCGCACCATGGCATACCAGTCAAGAGGACTTTGAGAGTAAACCAGATAGATGCTTTTGGTCGGATGGGTGGGATACACGAAGGCGCAATATGATGACAGCTATATGCTACTATAGCAAAGGTAGGAAAATTATCATCTAAGAGCCATCTCTATGAAGGAGAAAAATTAGATGGGCTTGAAACCTTCATCTTTAAGACCTGGTAGAATTTACCCTCTTATATAAGTTGAACATCACGCAGCTATAACCATCATCATTAGCGAAGCTCCTTTTGAGTTGTTAACATCGAAAGCCGAATGCCGCTGTGCTTTGTTTAAACACTGAAAGCTCATTCAAGAGCTCTGAAAGCAGTTGATATTCTAAACTTGAAAAGTTCTCACAACAAACGCGTGTATGTCAGATTGACCACGCAGCAACTGCTTTGCTCACTGTGTCATTTTTATTTGCTAGATTCGGTGTGTTATCAGTACAGGGGAGCCAAGATAAAGTAACTGCGCTTGTCAGCTAAACAATGTGAAGCTGAAAACCACTGCTACAATTACAAGAACAACAAATGTTACGATGTACTTTAATGATAATATAAGTGCAGAGCTGTGGAAATAAATTTAATGAATTTCCCTTAGAGTGATTATTTCTTTTCTTATTCAGCATCCCACAATGCGAACATGTATCTTTTGAGATAACAAGAACAGCTGTGTATCCCATTTTAGTGC